ACAAGACTTTTGCTTTTTTTTAGATGGCCTTTTGCTTATTTAGCTAGATTTTTGCTACTTATATCAAGTAGCCTGTTTTTATATTACTTTAGTTTGAACTAGCCTTTTGTTACTTTTAGTTGATCTTTTGATTTTTTTGTAACTTTAGCTAGCATTTTGTTACTTTTCTAAACTATAGGCTTTTTACTTTTAGCTTTACATAGCCTTTTGCTACTTTAGGCTTCAGCTACAGTTCTTTTTTAAAGCTACATTCAGCTACCCAATTACTAATTTTAGCTACCCTTCTGCTTCATTTTAGATTTAAGCTCTGAGTTTGCCCCTTTTAGCCAACATTTTTTATTTTCTGTTAAAGTTTTTATAACTTCTAGGTGGCCTCTTTCTATTTTTATTAACTAGTGAGCCTTTTAGTATTCTTAGATTTTCCTACTTTTAACTTTAAAGTAAGCTTTGTGATATTTTTAGCTGTTAGTTAACATTTTGTTACTTTTAACATGCAATAAGGCAACAGAATATTTCTTCAAATAATGATTTTTTATATTGCTATTTAATCTGCACCAGTAAATAAATAAACTAAATAATCATTACTTTTTTCTTCTCTTATGTCTTTATTAAACCTTAGTGAAACTTTACAGAAGAGTGGTAATTAATCAGCAGGAAAACAAACATTTCTCCTGAGGATCAAATGGCAGCAGGGCCTTTGATGAGGCCTTCACTTTCCCTGTCTGTGTGGGAAAGCTGAGCATCAGATTACGGCGGTGCTCTCTCAGGTTTTGCAGCTCGTCTGATCTGGATGTCTGTTTGTTGAGTCTGGATGTTTCAGGTTGATCAGACACTGATCTCAGATTGCTGGTTGGTTCTGAACGACTCAGAGAAAAACCCAAAGCTCCGAGGAGGTTAGCGCAGATTTGGACTTTCACGGCGAAGGATGAAGAAAGGCTTTTAGAGGTTAAATATAAATTAAAATATAAAAGCTTTGTGTGCTGCTGCTGTTTCCGTTGAAGAAGGAAATGTGTGGAAACTCTGAATGCAGATTTAGGATTTACTGGTTGAGTCAATGAAATCAGGATTTTAATTAACTCCTGCACTTTGTGCTATTCAGCCACTTGTATATCAAAATGTTTAGCTCATGAGATGGATGCTGATTTTCAAATAATTTAGGTTTATGTTAAAAACACTTTTCAGTTCCCCAAAAACATTTTTTGCTGTTTTTGCCACTTTTAGCCACTATCCTGCTGCTAATATTCTAATACTCTTTTTATCTAACTTTTTGATACTATTTTGCTGCTTTTAGTTAGTGTTTTGCTATTTTTAACTTCTAATAACCATTTTGATATTTTTAACTTTTAGCTAGTCTTTTGCAACTTTAACTTGTAGCTACTGTTCTGCTACTTTTAGTTTTAAGCAAAGATCAGATACTTTTAATTAGCTTTTTGCTACTTTTAGTTAGTCTTTTCTTTTACCATTTAGCTAGAATGATATTTACCTTTTACTTAACCTTTTGTTACTTTTGACTTCTGGACAGTCTTGAAACCTTTAGGTTTTAGCTATCATTCTAACTTTAGCTTTTAGGTTCCCTTTACTAATTTAGCTTTACCTTCTTTTGGCTTGCATTTGCAGCTATATACTATAACATAAAGCGTAAAGCGTTTGACACAGTTGATCGTTATACTCTCTTACATAAGTTGATTTCTTTTCAACTTTCATCATCTGCAATACAAATGTTTTCCTCTTATTTGACTGATAGGTGTCAGGTTGTGAAACATGGAAGCTCTGTGTCCGGGTCTCTGCCCTGTTCCGTGGGAGTTCCGCAGGGTAGCATACTGGGCCCATTGCTTTTCCTATTATACATAAATGACCTTCCAAAAATATTGAAGTATTCAAATATTTTAATGTATGCTGATGATACTGTTCTTTTTTTGTCTGATTTCAATATTGAATCTATTAATAGTCAGTTACAAGCAGATCTTCAGACATTTCATGGTTGGCTTCAAGATAATCTTTTGTCAATTAATGTTAAAAAAAACTGTGTGCATGTATTTTTCCTCACCCAGGAGACATTTCAATATAACAAATCAACTCACTTTTTTAAACAAACCCCTTGATATTGTCACTACCTACATATATCTTGGAATTACTTTGGATTCTCATTTGACTTATTGTGATCATGTACAAGTCTTAACCACTAAGTTGAAACAGAAATTATACGTTTATTCAAAAATTTGATCCAATCTGACATCTTCTGTTTCAAATATCTTTCTTCATGCCATTATACTCTCAACCATGTCGTACTCTTTACCTGTTTGGTCTCTTACAACAAATGAAATCTTAGAATTAGGCTCTACAACAGGGCCTACAAAATTCATAAAAAACTTCCTGGTTGGACTCATCACTGTACAGTTCTTTCATTGTCTGATGCCTTGACTTTTCAGAATTATGTTTTGTATAGTGGTATTAATTTATATTTTCAGATCTTCCAAGATGCCAATTATGGAACTCTATGTGCATTGCTGCCCAAATCAAATTCTGGAAGTGGTCATTCAACTAGATCTGTTACAAAAGAACAACTTATATTACCAACTTTTAAAAACTGTTACGGCCAGAGGTCTTTCTTCTATGTTTATACTAAAGCATGGAATGACATTCCTCAAAACGTAAAGTCCATTTCAAAACTACAGCCCTTTAAGAAGAATCTTGTCTGCCATCTGCTGGACACTTTTTGTTGTGCTCATATTTAGAAGTCCTATTTTGCAAATGCTGCCTTTTTGAATTTGGTATGCTTGTTTGTCTTTGTGTCTATGGTGTGCAATGATGTGATTGTGATGCTGTAATTCTGAGTGTTTTATATGCTGCAGAACAGGAACCTGTTGTAAAACAGCAATTATGCTGAGTCAGGCTTGATTTTTAATAATATTTTCCTGTTAAATAAATCAAATCAAATCAAATCAAATCAAATCAACATTTTGGCCTCAACTCCTTTGTTTTAAGAAGCAAGCAAGTAAGTAAAAGTTTATTTACATAGCACCTTTCACAGAGGGTCACAAAGTGCTTTACAAAGGTGCACAGTTATACAGAAAGATAAAACAATAAAAACATCAAAAACATAAAACACTAGCTAAGAAACAGATGACACAACTGGAATTGTTAAAAGGCTTTATAGAAAAGGAAAGTTTTAAGTTTGCTCTCAAAAGYAACCACAGAATCAAGTGCACGTATTGAGAGTGGAAGATCATTCCAGAGCATTGGAGCAACAGCCTGGAAGGAGCGATCACCTCTAGACTTAAAGTGAGTGAAGGGGACCGTTAAAAGATTCTGGTCTGATGACCTCAGCCCTCGAGAGGGTAAATACAGAAACAACAGGGCTTTAAGGGAGTCTGACCACGGAGAGCTTTAAACGTTAGTACCAGGATTTTAAACTTAAAACGAAAACCCACTGGGAGCCAATGGAGTGATTTTAGAATCGGGGTAATATGAACCCTTCTGWAGGTGTGGGTCAACACCCTTGCTTCTGCATTTTGTACCAGCTGTAATCGAGATAACTCCTTAGTGTTCTAGTGACATCCCTCTGTCAAAAATCACACCAAGATTTCTAAGGTTAGATTTGTCAAATGAGCTCAGATCACCCAGATACTGGTAGATTCTTGGAACAACAGCATCAGGAGCAATCACCAGCACCTCAGTCTTATCAAAGTTTAACTGCAAAGAATTAGCGCCAAGCCAGTGTTTAATTTTAACAAGGCAGTTCTTTAAAGAGTCCAGTTTATGAATCTCAGTGGACTTGAAGGAACAATATAGCAGGATATCATCTGCAAAAAGATATGAAACATCATCAAATTCCTGAATGATATACCCAGTGGAAGGACATATAACAAAAATAAAATAGGTCCCAACACAGAGCCCTGGGGCACTCCACACAACAAATCAGAAGAATCAGAGAGGAGCTGATTAATTGAAACACTAAAACTCGTACCGGACATATAAGATGAGAACCAAGCTAGAACAGAACCTGACAGACCAATCAGCTCACTCAGTCTTCTCAACAAAGTTTCATGAATGACAGTGCCAAAAAGTCGAAGAAAGATCCAACAGGACCAAAACAGTGCATTTCCCAGCATCCGCAGACGTCACTTGACATACTTCATAAACCACTGGATGGACGTTTGAGGCAACCAATAATAGGTGCCTGAAAAAAGGGCTACAGCTAATTCAGTTTTAAAGATGCAGAGCTGAAATTTTGAGTGTTCGTAGCTGAGGGTGGATGTGGCTGAGGTGTATCGGGCGCAGCCAGGTCGACGCCTGTAAACGGACGGAGCTGCAGCTGAAGGCCTCGACTTTAAGCGATGCTTTGTGCATCACAATTAGCCACACACAGCCCCGCATCAAACCGTCATCTCACTGTTGTGTTCATGTGAATGTGAGCTGCAGCAGGAGTCGATGAAAGCCTAATATTCCCAGGCCGGACCCCCGAATCCCCCCGCTCCCCCCACCTCTGAGGCCTGGTGTTTGTGTGACCTGACAGACGGAGATCAGACTTGAAGAGAGATGAGTGGGAACCCAGCGAGCACGCTCAGGTTTCCTGGTTCCGTGAAAAGATTTGTCCCGTCCATTCAGATCCCACGGAGGTTCCCATGTTACTGCGCTGCTGTTTTTTTTTTGTTAAACTATCTTTCTCATCTCACACACCCACACACCCTCATGTTAGTTTTTCTATCCTTGTGGGGACTTTGCATTCACGTCCATTCATTTTCCTGTCATTCCTATAGCCTAATCCTGACCCCTTACCCTAAATGTAACCCCCCCCCCCCCCAGTACATACCTAACCATAAACCTAGTCTAAACTCAATTAACCCTCCACCCAAAATCATTGGAAACTTTTCTTTTGTCACTAATCAGCTGAAGAGGGCCTCCTCCTGCCAATTATCTGGGAAAAGGCGGGAAGACGGGTGAACAGGTGTGGAAAAAAACCACAAGACAGGCAGGTTAGAAAGAGGGGTGGTCTCAGTTTAAAAAGGGTTTGATATGAGAGGAAGGGGGTCAACTCAGGAAGTACAAAGGGGGGAGACCCAGAGGAAGAAAAGACTGAAGAGCTTTGATCGAGGTCAGAGCGAGCAGCGGTGCAGGAGGGAGTCCAGCTTTGCTTTTTAACGTCTAATTTAAACATAACTGCTCCCCCCACCTCCCCTATTTTTTTACATTTAACTGAGAGATGTGGTCGATCCTCTGAAGATGACCCCGGGCAAACGTCGAACAGGGTTGGAAACGGCTCGACTGGCCTTCGTCCTCCTGCTGATCTGTAACGCCGCTGCCGTTTCCACGCAGTTTAACGGATACAACTGTGACGCCAGCTACCACAGCAGGTTTCCTGGTGAGAAAAAAAAGCAGTGTGGCCGCTGCACAGAACAGCTGGGAAATTTTATATTTTCTGCAAAACATGTAAAGTAAATGTGTAAAAGTATTTGAACTTCACCCACTGCTGAAAAGAAAAAAAAAATTGGATTCTACAGAAACAGAGTTTTGTCCTTGAACAGCGACTCATCGGCTTTCTTAGTGTTGGCTTTGAACAAAAACAAGATTAAAACCATTAAAAGTTATTTCTTTAAAACACTGTTTATCAAATCTGTGCAACAGTTTTAGAAAAGTTTTTAAGAAAATAACCGGAAATCTTTAAC